GAAATGGAGAGGAGCAATAATTAAACCCTGAGATGAAAGATATAATTACAGAATTGAGATGAAGTTATTAGAGTTTGTGGTAAAAGAAAATGTGGTTAGAAATCTAATGAGAATTAATGAAATCAAATGAATGTATTAGTAAAGGAGAATGAAAATAACATTACGAGTGGTAGTGAGTATGTATGTATGTATGTATGTATGTATGTATGTATGTATGTATGTATGTATGTATGTATGTATGTATGTATGTATGTATGTAGCAGAAGTGAACCAAGGGATTATCTCAGGCCAAAAATGTATATAAACAACATATAATAAACCACATGAAACAAAAAATCACAATCTTTGAAAAACAATCACAATCCTAAAAAAAAAATCTGTAAATAACTGTAAATAATCATCACCTTTTACAATAACTCACACAGATCAATGAAACTTAATCATACTTTTACAAGAGTAATTATTATAAGACTCAAGTAAACAATAATCTTTCTTACATTAATCTTCTTTACATCTTAAAAATCAAATCATGTTTTCCTACGGTCAACCTTTACACACAATACAATTTCAGAAGCTTTGTGAAATATAATACCAAAACAGTTTAACGAGAGAAACCAACTAAAATATCTGGGTAGAGCCTCGCAGTGAAGCAATCTCTGTACAATGGCAAAGTTGTGTCTCTAAAGTTTTCCACATACCACACTGTTACTTGGATTACAGGGAGAACTATCGGCTCTCTGAAAATTTCCCTTAGAACGAGATGAAACTCAAATTTGGTTGGTTGGTGGCGAGAGTCAAACGCTTGTGATTGGTTGAATGGTTTGGAAATATTAAACCTTGGATGAATCGGAGCTTTGGATTGGTTAAGAAAAAAAGTGTCAGTATTTTGGATTGGTTGGAATCATCAATATTTGGTTCTTGGTATTTGTCTGGATTGGTTGGAAGAATAAGCCTCTGGGATTGGTTGAAAGAATAAGCCTCTGGGATTGGTTGAAAGCATAAGCCTCTGGGATTGCTGAAAGAATAAGCCTAAGGATTGGTTGAAAGAATAAGCCTCTGGGATTGGTTGAAAGAATAAGCCTCTGGGATTGGATGAAAGAATAAACCTCTGGGATTGGTTGAAAGAATAAGCCTCTGGGATTGGTCGAAAGAATAAGCCTCTGCGATTGGTCGAAAGAATCAGCACCATGGTTAGGTTAGTGAAAAAGAAGAGAAGAGAAATGAGACATGTGAACGGAAAGAAAAAAAATGAACACAAAATAAATGAAAGAAACACAGATAGACCCTAAAATATGGAGAAAGAAAAATAGACCCCGAGAGAGATATGAAAGAAGAAATAAGAAACCCTAAGAGAGAGAGAGAGAGAGAGAGATAGAGAGAGAGAGAGAGAGAGAGAGAGAGAGAGAGAGAGGAGGAGAGAGAGAGAGAGAGAGAGAGAGAATAACCAGACACTCCAAAAAGTAAAAATCTTATCGGGATATCTTTGCCTGCATTAGTAAGCTGGAGGTCCTACAAGTTGAACACGTCGGAGCGAGAACAACCCAACCCTCCACACACACACACACACACACACACACACACACACACACACACACACACACACACACACACACACACACACACACACACACACAGACAATCCCCGCGGCTGGCTGGTGTGGGGCTTTTTAGACCTCGCTTGTGCCGCAGACCAATAGGGAATCCCCCCAAAGAATATTCCTCAGGGATTTTAGTTGTTGAGCTGATGCATAAACAAGAGAGTGGGTTAAAATGTACCAGAATTCCTTGCCAATCTCTTCTTCCTCTTCCTCCACCCCCCTTCTTCTTCCTCTTCCTCCACCTCCTCTTCTTCTTCTTCCTCTTCCTCCACCTCCTCTTCTACCTTCCTCTTGATAAAAAATTGAATCGATCTTCTTCAGAATACTGGTTTGATATTGAACATGAAATATACGAAAGCTCATCATACAGTATTGAAAAGGGTAACTATCTGTAATGTGTTTGTAATAGTGTAATGCGTATTGAATATTTCCCCGAGTGAGTTACGTATCCGTTCACTGTACAGCAGGAAGGGCGGAAAGCGGAATTTGTTACATATACCTATGACAAATGACGAAGTTTAAAGATAATGTTTTCCTATTATTTCGTTCAATAACTTCAGGATTGTGCTTGTAACATTCAAGTACATGTTACAGCGCCATCTGTTGGTAAAACAAGCGGTTCGTACTCTTTCCAGATGTAGAGACTAGTTCCAGCAGTTCTGAATCTCGCTTCAGCAGTTCTAAGAGTCGTTCCAGCATTTCAGAGATACGATATAGCTTTTCGTAGACTCATTCCAGCAATTCTGAGACTCGTTCCTTCAGTTTAGCTTCATTCTAGCAGTTAGAAATTTCGTTCCAGTAACTCGGACACTCGTTCCTGCAATTCAGAGACTCGTTCTAACATAGACTCAACCCAGCGGTCAAAAGACTCATTTTATACATCGGAGACTTTTACCCTTTTTGTTTTCGTCTCATTACACCACTTCGGTATTTAAGATGTGAAAAGGGACATTAGTTAGTAAATAAACTGAACAATCATGTTAGCTACCCTTGACGTGTTACACAATTGAGTTGATGACTTAGGAGATAAGTTGATGCTGGAGTGTCGTTGGGTGATAAAAATAACAACGACGACGACGACGACGACGACGACGACGACGACGACGACGACGACAACGACAACGACAACGACAACGACAACGACAAGACAACGACAACGACAACGACAACGACAACGACAACGACAACGACAACGACAACACAACAACAACAACAACAACAACAACAACAACAACAACAACAACAACAACAACAACAACAACAACAACAACAACAACAACAACAACAACAACAACAACAACAACAACAACAACAACAACAACAACAACAACAACAACAACAACAACAACAACAACAACAACAACAACAACAACAACAACAACAACAACAACAACAACAACAACAACAACAACAACAACAACAACAACAACAACAACAACAACAACAACAACAACAACAACAACAACAACAACAACAACAACAACAACAACAACAACAACAACAACAACAACAACAACAACAACAACAACAACAACAACAACAACAACAACAACAACAACAACAACAACAACAGTTAATAACAACAATAACAACAATAAACTGTCTCTAAGAACTAGGTAATAATATAACCTTAGACCGCATGGCACAGTAAACAAGAGTACGTGCACTAAGCCATGATACGCCAGGTAAACTGCACACCTGTGATAGTTTAATTACCACCCAAGTGAAGCTGCAGCCTTGTACTCACACCTTGGTAGGTCATAGCAGGGACTGTTTGTATGTATGTATGTATGTACGCAATTTACCTCTGTCTACCCAGTGCAGTTGGCGAGTTGTCCGGTCTTCTCGGACTATTACTTGACACTGGGTCATGCAACTCGTTAACTCAGGGTATAGTTGTTGTGTTGGTGACAGCTTCTACACTTTAAAAAAAAATTTGCGCCTAGGTGGCCCTTGTTACACGAGGGGTAACCATTATATATTATTATTATTATTATATCTCCTTAACACCTACATTTTAAAATACGTTCAGAAGATTACAACTTTTATGATACTGAATTATAGTTTCACACACACACACACACACACACACACACACACACACACACACACACACACACACACACACACACACACACACACACACAAACACACACACCAGGATAAAGGCTTTTATAAGGTGTTAATCGCAGTATTACATGAGAGAGAGAGAGAGAGAGAGAGAGATTAAACACACACTGAAAGAAAGAAGAGACAAACAGACAAACAAACAGAGACAGACAGACAAAAACAAACACAAACACCAAACACATAAAAATAAAAACATCGACAGTATTAAAACGAGAAGTGAAAGCCAAAGAAAGCAGACAGTCTTAAGCATTACTTGAAGGCTTCAGGCGAGTCTTTACCACTTTCTCTCTCTTAATTCCGGGAACTTCTTGGGGCGCCTGGGATGTGGGGAGAATTAGGCCGAAATGTAGAGCTTTGGAGGAGAAGGGGTGAAGGAGGAGGAGGGGAGGAGGAGTGGAGGGGAGGTATCAGATGAGGAAGTGAGAGGAGGAGGAGATGGAAGTGGTTGCTGTGGAGGGCTTGAAGACGGTGTAAGGTTGCTCGAAGGCAAAAATGAGAGAGAGAAAGAGAGAGAGAGAGAGAGAGAGAGAGAGAGAGAGAGAGAGAGAGAGAGAGAGAGAGAGAGAGAGAGAGAGAGAGAGAGAGAGAGAGAGAGGAGGGTAGAGAGAGAGGAGATAGAGAGAGAGAGAGAGAGAGAGAAAGAGAGAGAGGTAGGTGGGAGAGAGAGAGAGAGAGAGAGAGAGAGAGAGAGAGAGAGAGAGAGAGAGAGAGAGAGAGAGAGAGAGCTTTCCAAGTTATATTAGTAATGTTATTATTATTTTTTCCAATGTTTTGTTATTAATATTGTTATAATTATTTTGTTTCTATATTGTTAGTGTTATATAAATTTCAATCTTTATTTAATGATACTAGTTACTGTTATCATTACCATCATCCACACTATCATTCTATTCTCATCATTATTATAACTAATTCTCATCAACATTATCACAAACCAACATACGTATATACCACTCAATACGACCCAGTTACTATACAACATTTCAATCATTCATACACACACTCATACACATTTCTATACAACCCGGAAGTATAGCAAGTAACTGAACCTTCCTATCAACCATAGACGAACATTACCACAAGTTGTATGTAAAAACAAGCGATAATACCATCTCTCTCACAGAAAAATTGTGTCCTTAATTAGCTAACCTTCTGCAGGATGAAGACGTGTTGTTAAATTCTTACTTTCTCTACTATCTTTCTCTCTCTTTCACTTTCACCACTAACTCTCCCTCACTCTCACCACTAACTCTCCCTCACTCTCCCCCACAGAGCCTCGGGCGGTCATCACAGCAGGTAGAGAGTTGTACCTGGATAAGGGCTCGACGTTGCGTCTTACCTGTCAAGTCAGAGATGCTCCTACCCCTTCTGATTTCCTGCTATGGTACCACGAGCAGAAGGTAAGTGACGGGAAGTAGCTGAGTGAGGGGAAGTAGGTGGGTGAGGGGAAGTAGGCGGGTGAAGGGAAGTAGGAGGGTGAGGGGAAGTAGGTGGGTGAGGGGAAGTAGGTGGGGTGAGGGGAAGTAGGTGGTGGGGGAAGTAGGTGTGGGTGAGGGAAGAGGTGGGTGAGGGGTATTTGTGGGTGAGGGTAGGTGGTGAGGGTAAGGTGTATGAGGGTAAGTAGGTGGGTGAGGGAAGTAAACTATGGAGAGTTACATAAAAAGCTGTCTGCTCACACACACACACACACACACACACACACACACACACACACACACACACACACACACACACACACACACACCTGTTTTCATTCTACTCGTCCTAAGGGGGAAAAAAAAGCCGAAAAAAAAAAACTATATTTTTTTTCCTAGAGCGTAAGAGAAAGGTGACACACACTCTCCATATATTCCCCGCCACATTCCTTCCCCTATAATGTGTTTACGTTTCTTCTTCCTGGGGAAAAAATACATCAAGAGACCGACCACCTCCACCAGCCTGTCAATAACAAACTAACAGTGGGGTCGAAAAATCTTTACCCAAAACAACCCAAAAAATAAACAAGTTAATAAATAAATAAACAAGTAAATAAATAAATAAATAAAGGCAATATTTACACATATATTATCAGAAAACTATCACTGTAATTTCTATATAATATAAACATGCTATATGTATACATTAGGTGTAGTTGATATGATTAATTAGGTTAGATTAGGTTTTTTTTTTTTACAGGGAATAGCCCACCCGAACACAGGTCATCGACCCTCAACGGTGCTAGGGGACGAAAAAATATGAGTAAAAGAAAATTAAAATTAGAAGAGAAAAATATTATATTAATCTACACGGAAAATTAGCTTTATGAAGTGAGACGGATTGTATGAGTATGGAAAGACAGAAGAAGGCAGAGCATTCCACAGTTTGGCTGTTATTATCAGATTTTTTTTAGAACTTTTCCATTTTTTTTGGGGGGGAGGAGGGAGTTTTGGGAAGGTCAGTATGTAAACAAAGGCTTCGTCAGAGACCTTTTGGAGCGAGGAGGGAAGAGAGAGTTTTCATGTCTCCTTTACAGCCAGCTATAAGAGAGAGAGAGAGAGAGAGAGAGAGAGTAACACACACTGGGTCCTCGTTGTTTCATATTTAGCCTGATTTCACAGTCATCTCTATTTTTCCTGATACTCATCACACACACACACACACACAGCTGGGTCACACACAGACACACACACACACACACACACACACACACACACCACACGTGGCGTTATACTTCATTATGCTTTATAGGGGTCATAAGAAATGATATAATTTGGTGGATACTGAGACCTAATCAATGTGTGTTGAGAATATTTTATCTGTTTGTTTATCTCTCTCTCTCACATTCTCTTTCTTTACCTCAACTTGATATATTACATTTCAGAATCCACAAAGAGAACACAAACAATAATCATTTGTGTTTATTTTTCTCCACTAATTATCTAAAGTGTGAAAAATAAGGACAACTTTTATAATATTATTTTTTTTAACACAAGAATATTATGAAAATCTTGATGTCCGAGCTGATTAAAATGGTGTAAAGGGAGAGAGTTAGAGAGATCATGAGGACAGGTGAATGATTTATGAGTCACCTGAAGATTAGTTCCTCCTTTGTTTATTTCACCTTAAGATCAGGCACGGTAAGAGTAACTTAACCAAACCTATTTTAACGTAGCCTAACCTAACCGAAACCTAAACCTAAACCTAAACCTAAACCTAAACCTAACCTAACCTAAACCTAAACCTAAACCTAAACCTAAACCTAAACCTAAACCTAATCTAAAATAAACCAAGTAAAGTTGTTCTTAAAGGGGGATTTATTCACCATTTCTATTCCCATGTTTGGTAGAATCTGCAATGAAAGCAAAAATAATCAATGTGGACGATGGAAATGATCAATCTGTGGATGTGTGAGAGAATATGACACAACGTACGAAGGATTTTGACAACGCTACCGAGACAACACGAGTCAGGGTATTGATTGGGACCACTCCATAAAAAAATTTCATTGCGTGTGTATCAAGATGAGAAAACGAACACAAATGCAAAAAATATAAATAAACTGAAAAAAAAAATTGGAAGGTACCTTATGTTGATGATACCGCAGGTGAAATGCGATAAATTGATGATAAAATTTAATAATACAAGGAGAAGAATAAGGTTAAATGAGCAATGAAAATATGGAACTACTTGTAGATACCAAAACAAGGAAGAGGTTAATGGACTTCGGAACCTGGAGAGAAATTTAACCCCGAATTTTACTGTCATTTTTATAAGAGCAAATACACAAAATATTAATTAACACAGCGAGATAAGCAGACAGGTAAGCTTCAGGTGTGGACTTGGGTGTAATGAGCAAATACTTTGAGAGAGAGAGAGAGAGAGAGAGAGAGAGAGAGAGAGAGAGAGAGAGAGAGAGAGAGAGAGAGAGAGAGAGAGAGAGAGAGAGAGAGAGAGAGAGAGAGAGAGAGAGAGAGAGAGAGAGAGAGAGAGATTATGGAAAGTTCTTCATTGTCATCGTCTTCTCATCAATAAACAACTAAGTAAAGTCTAGTTTCACCCCCCCACAAAGATTATTTCCTCCCCCCCCCCAAAAACATACCCCTCCTCCTTTTTACAATACATTTTCTTCAACACCTAAAAAAAAAAATGCAAGAAAAATAAAACTCACTTTCTCTCTCTCTATATATATATATTTTCACCACCACATTTCTTCAAGCAAAACATATCTCACTGCTAAAACGAGACACCCAGACCAGCGACGAACCTCCACCACCAACTTCTCAATAACAAACTTAAGATCTCAAGAAAAAAAATAAAATAAAAATCTTTACCTCAAAACACAAAAATACACGAATCCAATTATTTCCTTATGCATTAGTTCAGGTTAAATTAGGTTAGATCAAGGTTAAGTTAAATTAGGTTAGGTTAACTCAGGTCACATTAGGTTAGAAAATTGTTGTGATTCTCTTCGTGTCAACAATAAATTAAATGTCTACGTGTTTTAGGACAGGAAGAGACAGGGATATTCTGTGTCTCTTAAACCTCGTGCTGTGGCGCTCCTAAAGTGTGTGTGTGTGTGTGTGTGTGTGTGTGTGTGTGTGTGTGTGTGTGTGTGTGTGTGTGTGTGTATTGTTGGAGGTTAGGTTAGGTTAGTTAGGAATTATTATGGTTCTCACTGAGTATTTGTTTAGAGGAGAGCGAAATAAGTCTTCATTGTGTCTCTCTTGCATGTAAAGTAGTGAAGGTCTCTGAAAGTGAGGAAAACCGTGTGTGAGGAGAGAGACACACACACACACACACACACACACACACACACACACACACACACATACACACACACACACACACACACACACACACACACACACACACACACACACACACACACACACACATTGTCAACTGAGACTACTACAAAATAGAAACAAACAAGAGAGAGAGAGAAGGAAGAGAGGAGACAGACAAGAGAGAGAAGGAAGAGAGGAGACAGACAAGAGAGAGAGAGAGAGAAGGAAGAGAGGAGACAGACAAGAGAGAGAGAGAGAGAGACAGCATTCAGATATATAATTATAAAATATCTCGTCAGGTGAGACAGGTTAGCCATGAAGGAGAAAAAGATCCACACAGATATTAAAAAAAATTAGTTAATAACAGAGACGAGGTTATTACCCCGGGGTCAGCTCACCTCACATGCCGTATTTATGACCTAACATTTTTTTTTCAGTAATAAACCCATTACATCTTTTAAAAAACACCATTCATATGTTTTGCAGTAGTCGAAGAACATAGAAGAAAAATGAGCTTCAGTAACTTTACCTGCATAATTATGTTAGCGGAAGAAGCTAGAATATATGTAAAGCTATTAATACTTTTGTTGTTGTTGTTGTTATTATAAGTGTTGTTAATAAATTTTGTGAGAATTATCTTGAAATTGTTGCTGGGAGTTGAAGGTGATGTAACAGTTGTGAGTTAATACGAGTAGTAGTACTCACAACGGTAGTACTCACAACGGTAGTACTCACAACGGTAGTACTCACAACGGTAGTACTCACAAAGGTAGTACTCACAACGGCAGTACTCACAACGGCAGTACTCACAAAGGCAGTACTAAGACAGTACTCACAACGACAGTACTCACAACAGCAGTACTCACAAAGGTAGTACTCACAAAGGTAGTACTCACAAAGGTAGTACTCACAACGGCAGTACTCACAAAGGCAGTACTAAGACAGTACTCACAACGACAGTACTCACAAAGGCAGTACTAAGACAGTACTCACAACGACAGTACTCACAACGGCAGTACTAAGACAGTACTCACAACACAAATGCTATTACTACTATATACCACTGTAAACTATTTCACGGTAGAGGATTCACAGACCGACTCGAACGTTTAGTGAAAAATACATACATACATACATACATACATACATACATACATACATACATACATACATACACACTCGGTTTTTTTCCATAATAAATGTGTCAGGTGAATCTTCCAGTAAATAAACAATCTGAATTGATGTAATTATTATTTATTTTTGTTATTTGAAACTCGGAAAAATTAGACAGAATAATTATAGAATTTAATTACTCTTTTCTATTATGAAGTAGATTAGGTTGATCATTCGTTATAATTACTTTTTTTATTTTGTTAATGAGTAAAGGGGGAAAATATTCTACTTACATTACTTATATTATTTTAATCTTTCGTTTGTATATATGTAAAGATTAAACTAGGTCACGTTGTCATGGTAACCCAGACACCTTATCCTGGGTGAGGCATATACGTTAAGGGGGTGGGGGAGGGGGGGTGAAGGGGTGGGGTTGGAGGGGGGTGGAGGGGTGGGGGGGGGTGGAGGTAAGTATATTGAGAGAAATAAGCACATAAATAACCGCTGATTCATTACATACAAAATAAAGTTCTCTCAGTCAGGCAGTCATTTTAAGTAACTGGTTAACCTGTGAAGACTAAGAGAAGTGTCTGAGGTGACTGGGGATATGAGTGACAGTCAGTTTGGTGTTCTTAAATCCTGACTGTTGTTCTAGTTATTTTTTTTTCTAACTGGTTGTGTGTGTCCTGAGGCTGTGTATATATATAGTTTGACTGACTGTATGTGACTGGTTATATTCTCTCTCTCTCTCTCTCTCTCTCTCTTCCAATTACCATCTCCCCTCTCTCCCATAAAGGTTAAGTGGGAGCCTATTTTTTTTTTTTTTTGAGAGAGAGTTAGTACCGATACTCTCCCTGCTGTGGACAAGAGCGCTCTCAATCTACCACAAGGGGGAGGACTTAGTGCAAGAGCCAATGAATACTGGTACTCAAGTGGTATCGTGTACTGGTACTCAAGTGGTATCGTGTACTGGTACTCAAGTGGTATCGTGTACTGGTACTCAAGTGGTATCGTGAAGTCATCTCTGTACAGCCCTCTTACCGATGAATATAACAAACGTCGCCCTTATGTGCTATGTTAATAAGGGTGGTTATTTTACTTTGGTATATTGACGACTAAAAAAAAATATATATTATAGAATAAAAAAAATAATTTAATTGGATAAAAAAAAAGAAAAAAGAAATCATCCAAAGTTAATTTATTCAGGACCGAAGGAATATTTAACTAGTTACAAAAAAAAAAAATCACGTTAAAGCTAGTAGTATCCTGTGTTTAAACCAGAGAGATGCGTGACTAGTGACTATTTACCTGGTGTACACTATAGTCATTCCCAGACCTCCGCTGAGTATCGTCAATAAGTACATCTATTAAAAAAAAAAAAACACGTCTAAAAAAATAAAAAATAAAACAGTGAATTAGTTACTATAATCCATACGTTTATCATTACGTTAATTATGACGTTCCCTATTAAGGATTTGTGAATATTTATACGTTTCGGACAATTTCTTTGTTTCATTTTATATTGTGTATTATTTTACTTATTTTACCTTTTTGGGATGAGGGTGGGGGGTGAGGGGGGAGGTGAGGGGAGGGTGAGGGGGGAGGGACAAGAGGGGGGGAAAGGAAAGGAGAAAGTGTCATTAAAGCTGTTTATATTTAGGTGAAATGTTACACCCTTAGAGGTATTCTTGTGTAAATGCTACTTACACCTTCGCTCACCCTACCTAGGTACTGTCCCTTCTCTCACCCCCCCCACTCTCTCTCCTTGAAATAACCACCAACTCCCCCCTCTCTCCTCATCTACTAGCCACTAACTCCTCTTCCTCTCTACCATAAACATACATACACCCATGGTGCAACCATTTTCTCAGGTAACTGTTAATTCTCTCCTCACTCAGGTAACTGTTAATTCTCTCCCCTCTCACTCAGGTACCGTACCCTCCCTCCTCACTCAGGTAACTGTTACACTCTCTCACCAGGTAACTGCTAATTCTCCTCTCAGTAAAACCCACTATTGCCCTCTTCTTCCCCACTCACATATTCACCCAATCACTACCAACTCCCTCTTCTCCAGATAGTCACATTATCCCTTCCTCTTCCCACTCCACTTCCACTCACCCATTAACCACTAACTTGTTCCCCTTTACCCCCCCAGGTGGCCAACTACGAGGTGGAAGAGGTGGAGGTGACGGTCAGAGTGGAGAACGGGACCACAGTGAGCAGCCTTACCTTGGGGGACGCCCAGGTGTATAACTCTGGCCAATACAGCTGTAGCCCCTCCAACGCCAAGGCTGCTTCAATTCGCGTCCACGTGCTTAGTGGTGAGTGAGTGAGTGTGTGTGAGTGTGTGTGTGTGTGTGTGTGTGTGTGTGTGTGTGTGTGTGTGTGTGTGTGTGTGTGTGTGTGTATGTGTGTGTGTGTGCGTTTTAATGTGTACACCCAGTATTCTGGAAAACTTTTGAAGCCGAAGGAGGAAAAATAATGAGTGCGTGAGAATAAATATTACAGAACACTCCAGGTCAGTGACGCGGCAGAGCGGAAGAGAAACCAAAAAAAATACACTTTCTTTTTCTTTCTTTTTATTTTCATATGAAGTAGCGGGAGGCTGAGGCAGCGGCTCGTCCACTTGAGTCTAGAAGGGTTTACCAATATAAATGAGAAAATGGTAAACAGAAGACAAAAACGACTTTGGATTCTCGTGTATTTTTGTAGGTGTGTGTGTGTGTGTGTGTGTGTGTGTGTGTGTGTGTGTGTGTGTGTGTTGACATTACTTTTGAACCATTGTAAGTCATGGTTGGTGAAGCAGTATGGATTCAGGGGGTGAGTTACACGTAAGAGCTGTTGAATCGAGGGAAAAAAAACACTTCAAGTATCTCTGCAATCTGCGTTGGTAAATTTGTAATAACACAGACGAAATCAGAATAAGTAAAAGTAAATGTTGTTTTGAAGAATGAAATACTGAGTGACAGGATATTAAGGGCACAGTGTTAGTAGCTGTTGGGTGTTGTAGCAGTCACTTGACGCTGTTATACTTGACACTTAGCATGGCACTGTGGTGGTGTGTGCGTGTGTGTATGTGTGTGTGTAAGTCTCCAACACACCAAAATGTTTGTATACGTTCAGGAGCTCAACATTGATATGACACTGATATTTAGAATAGCAGTTACACACACACACACACACACACACACACACACACACACACACACACACACACACACACACACACACACACACACACACACACACACACACACACACACACACACACACACACACACACACACACACACACGCACACAGATAAAACTCTCGGCTCACGATTTAAAAACAAAGAAACAGCAGAAATGATTTAATATCTTGTACAAATAGTGACACATAACACGCGGTTAATGGCCCCTCTGACGGTGTTATCTCTCTCACGTCTTAGGGTGTTATCATAGAGGCTCTTGTTATCATATTCCTAATTACAGGTGTGTGAGGACAAGGAAATATTTAGTGGGGTTAAAAAATAATGTCGATATGAGGTATTCCCAAGTTCCCATCAAAAGTTGTTCCCATCAGTAGGGCTTGTGTTCCCATCGCATAAAGACTTACATAAGAGGTATTCCCATCATTCAAAAGACTAAAAGCAAATCTTTCTCTAAAATGATTCTGATAGGATGAATCCCTCTAAGAATTTACCTCCATCACGCTTAACCAAATCTTTTTAAAAGGGACAAAGGTTCAGAAACACATTTGAGAAGATCAATTTCTTGGTCGGGGGAGAACTGGTTAAGATATTACGCCCCTCACCACCCCCCCACAGCCTTCTACCCCCACCAACCTACCCCCTCCCTCCCCCATGGACACTAAACCTTCGTGATGTCATTCCCTTATAAAGTTTCTTGAGATAAGACTTTTCCAATAAAGCTCTAAGGTATAATATTCATCATCTTTATTGTGTGGCGAAGAAGAGTGAATAAGTCTCGTACGATTTGTAGACAGCCTCAGGATTCACACTACCCCCCTCCCCTCTCCCTACCTCCCTCCCTTCCCCCTCCCTTTCACCTTCTCTCTCCCCCCCTCTCCTTCCCCTCGGGCTTCCAATGCACATCCAGGTAATATTTTTATCAACTTACGGGTCAAAAGCACTAATCTAACTTAATGATATCCTACCACTTACGCTGTGAGAGATTGTGAGGTGAGGCAATATAGAGCGAGACGATTATGTACGCCAAGACGAGATTACCTCACAGGGGGGGGGTGGGGGGTAGGTAATTCAAGAGTCTTAGATCATGGGAGTGAATGGAAGCTTAGTATTTCGGAGGCTTGCTGAGGCTCCCAAAACGCACATCGGTAATTTATATCGTCGACTCCTCCTGCACTACAGCTATTGTATATATAACCTATAGCTTAAGTTTAATGAATTGTGGGGTCAAAGTTCATTGTCAGGTGATAAGAGGGTTGTGGGAGAGAGTTAGACTGTTGTGTGGGTAGTTCGTTCCTGTACAATGTGTGTGTGAGGTGATTTTTACTGGTTCATAGCTGTACCAGAATAAAATATCTTCACACGCGTACAGCTAAAAATACAACGAAAGCTCAAAAAACATACACAGTACATATAAACAAACACAATGAGCACAAACAGCAAACAAACAAACACTCAAAACACAAACAAGGGAAATATAGCAACATTTCACGAGGAGAATAAGAGAAGAAGAAGCGATAGAGAGAATGATAAAACACACAGATAAAAGCGACTCAGGGAGAAAGTGGGTAATAATGACGATAAAAATGGAGGAATTTGTGACTGGGAAAATGACAGAAAACTATAAGGCTAAAATGCTGGAGTCATTAGCCTAAATTGACTACTTAGAGGAAGAGAGAACGAAGGAGAGTCAGGAAATACGTAGGAGAGAAAAACAAATAAAAAAATATATTAAAAAAGAAAATCCCTAAAAGTAACATTAAAAAATAAATAAAAAAACGCAAGAAAAATCCTAAAATATTAAAAAAAAAAAATCAGCGAGAATTTAAACCTGAGAATTAATGATATAAACTTTTCAAATAAAAAAAAATACACCAAGGAAGAAAATATTTTATAATAGAACCTGCAAAAGAAAATTGAAAAAAAACGAGGTGGGGGTACACTGCTATCCTACTGGTGAAAACGGAAAATTAATGGTATAAAAGCCCCCTCTTCGAACCATTGAAAGAAAACGTTCAATAAATTCGGGGAAAAAATTGCGTTAGCTCAGAAGGAGTTTGAACCACCTGAGGAAATCAAAAGCCTTGTGAGAAATAAGACCCGAGTGTGTTGTGGACTTGATGGGGTGTGGTGATGAGAGAGAGAGAGAGAGAGAGAGAGAGAGAGAGAGAAAGAATTGCCTTTACCTCCCCGAGAACCAATAGGTGGGGCATCCCGGGTTGTGGTCGGTATAAGATCGCTTTAAGTTGAATTAGATCAGGTTAGATTAAGTTAGGTTACATTACATTAGGTTAGGTTAGGTTACGTTACGTTAGGTTAGGTTAGGATAGGTTTGGTATAGGTTGAGTTTATGCAACGTTGGGTTATGAAATACAAAAGAAAAAGTGGTGAAAAAGACGATGGAAATTCCACATAATAAATCCAGGAAAGACGAGGCAACTGGGAGGACGAGATGATGTACTGGGAGGCGCCTCAGCAGAAACACCTAAGATAAGGACCTATTAAAGTGAGGAACGTTGGAGAGATCACAGAGGAGGAGCGAGAGAAGTCTGGCTCATGAAGGAGATGGTAGGAGGGAAGGAGAAAAGGAGGGTCAGAATGAGAGAGAAAAGAAGGAAGGGAGGGATGGAGAGAAGGAGGGAGAGAAAGATAGGGACAGATAGAGGAAGAGTTAAGTTATATGTGGATTAAGTTGTTGTTGTTTAGATGGGCATACCTCTTAATAGACACGGTACCCCACTTTCCTCCCTCCCCTCTCAAACACGGTCAGTCTCCCCTCCCCACCCCTCACCCCTCTCTACCCCTCCTCTTACTCCTCCCCACCCCTCCCCTTACACCTCCCTACCCCTCCTCTTACACCTCTCCATCTCTCCTCTTACACCTCCCCACCCCTTCTCTAACACCTCCCCACCTCCCCCTTACACCTCCCCACCCCTCCCAATACACCCTCACCCATCCAAACACGAAACACGAACACTCCCCCCTCCTCCTCCTCTCCTCCCCAAATAAACACCAAACACGTCTAGTCTCCCCTCCCTCTCCCACCCTCCTGTATATAAACTTTCCAGACCTACAAATGGCCCCATGTGTTGGAGTGTGTTGGAGTGTGTTGGAAGTGTGTTGGGTGTGTTGGGTGTGTTGAGAGTGTGTTGTGAGTGTGTTGGGAGTGTGTTGTGAGTGTGTTGGGAGTGTGTTGTGAGTGTGTTGGAGTGTTTGTCCTGATCACCGTGAGTCTTGTTGATCCTCCTGGTAGTGGCAAATGACTCTCAGTATTGTTAAGTAAAAGTCACAGTTATCCCCCACCCACGTCCAAGGCCCTCACAGAGCTGGTTCAGAACACTTGTTGCTCCTACACACACTTTTAGTTCCGAGGAAGTTTAAGAATTGCAGAAATACAGGATCGTGTGAGAATTAGATATTTACTGTACACAAGCTTTTTTTTTCACCCCATTATTAAAACTACGTAACCTAACCTGACCTAATCTAACCTAACCTAACCTAACCTAACCTAACCTAACCTAACCTCCAGAGACAGGGAACTTGTGTTTAATAATCAGATGAAATAAGAACAGGGGTGAGCTAATATTCACCTGATGCGACATACGTAAAATACAAGAAAATCCACGAAGTAAAATAATGAAAGGTAATTATAAATGATAAGAAGAAACGATGAATGGCTAAAGGAATGTGGTATTTAATTAACAGAACGATAAGACAATGTAAAAATAAATAAATTAGTTTTTACCTGAGCCAGAATTAAAGAAATGAAAGTTGTCGCAAAGTTCAAACAGTTTTTAGAACGAAAAAATAAGGCAAACGACCTAAAGATATCAACAAATTTAATTAACTCTCCTAACAACTATTATTATACTCTTACTAATTAACTATTGTCTGCCTTGTTTACATTATGTTTACATCACATAATTAAATGTTTCACTCATGCATCAACAACAATAGGTAGTCACTCAATAAAATTATCTCTACAAAATTGTGTCGAGAAAATATGACACAACGAAACAAGAATTTTGACAACCCAACCGAGATAACAGGAGTCGTAGTGTTCATTTTGCAATTCATCGATCACCCCGAGTACAGATAGTTTTTATTGAGCAACTGTACCTCAAGGACCCTGTCACGCTGAACCATCAACCTAAACTTTAACAAAATTCCTGGACGTATTTCCACAAGGACACAAGATTTTCCGGTTATCTGGCCAAGGAAATGGAGAAGTTGTCAAGTGGCTGCTGGTCTGAGGCGGGCAGCTGCTGGCCTCACAAGATACAAAATATATTTACACCAGAGGGAAAACAATTTAAAATCTGAAATCTGGTTATCAAAATGTTGTTGCTGTTATTGTTATCGTTGTTATTGTTACGAGAGTTTCACCGACTGTATTTCTTCACTTAAATCAAATATGTAACATAAATTAAAATCGGTAAATAAACAACCAGTTAAGTATATTAGTTTATGAGTCAGTAGGATATACCAACGAGGAAACGAGTGGCATAACCAAATAACTTTCCCCAAAAAACACGAAGAAAATAGAGAGAAAAATAAGATACAGTAAATAAGACACATAAGACATCAACATCCTCACTACAGTTAAACCTACACGATGCTACAGAAACACACGACACAAACTCTCCTCTGAGGAAACATAAAATACGGCATGTATCTTGTATCTGTCCCAGCGAGGGTGGCAGGTGAAGCCATTTACACGCTGCTCCTCCGCCCTAACAATAGTGGAGGTGATGCATGGGGCGCCTCTCAACCCCACCAAGATGGAGGTGAGGGGCAGGGTGCGGGGGCGGGTGAGGGGGCGGGTGAGGGGGCGGGGTGAGGGGTGGATGAGGGGGCGGGTGAGGGGGGGGTGAGGGGGAAGAACTCGCAAATAATAAATACTATTTGTGTTTGATGCTGTTTTGTCTTGCTATTTTGCTGTGCTTTGACGACTGACAACAACAAGGAGGAAATTGAAAACATTTTATATTTTGCGAAACAACGGGAGAATATTTCAATAGAATCCTGAGGCGACTACAACGTTTACTGATATACAAGACGTCAGGTAGAAATGTTGTTGTTTATTGTAGCTGAAGTAGGTAGAGCATTATTAATTAAGACAGGTAAAAATATTTATCCGGTTTTACCTGTCGTAAGTCATAAGGGATTAAATCACGTTATTCTTCCTGGTTTATGGAGTCATGTGAAGGATTTAAATACCGACATGACACTGATTTTTAAGACTCAGAGATATGTAATAACGTTGCTCTTTGAACCACACATAAACAAATAGGTTCTAAAAATATCATGGTGTTAACTCTCAACCTCTGATATGATCCACCAAGTTGACCATAAACATTCATAAACATTACCTGTGTATGAGTGAACATCAACACACCTGTTATGTTTACATCCAATCAACATACAAGTATTTCCTCGTGTATATGTCAGTCTGCAAATGTCCGTATCAAGTGTGTGTGAGAACAATATTGTTACCTTATTTTTAACTTGAGTATCCGAGACGTACATATTGTTTGACTTTGTCGTGCTGAGCCAATATATCAAGGCTTCTGAGTGCATTTGAGTTATCACATATGTTTTAATGTTAAATATTCATAACAGAGTATATCTCTATTAATTATATAATATTCTTAACTCTATATTTGTACTCAGGTGATGTTGTTGACAGGTAACGACACAGGTATAATGTGTGTGTTGTGTGTCCACAGGTGAGCATCCGGCGGCCATGCAGACCAACACCGCCTCCTGCCTGCTGCGTCGGGGGGCCGCCTACACCACCCTCATCCACCTGTTTACCCCGACCCTGCTTCCGCTGACCCTCTCTACTGTCACTTCAGCCTTCTGCTTCAGGCCAATGTATCAGTCCGCGTCACCATTGGCACTTCTGTTGGCACTGCACGCCTTCAGTGCCATTCTACAGGTGTCCTGATTAGTGTCACGCATCTTACTCTTTTCTACGAAATGTGTTCTAAGTGTCCAGTTTCTTTTGCGTTCATCCTAAAAGGTATTTCGTGTGCGTGATGAACTCCGTGTGTGAGTGAAGAACTCATCATGTGTGCGTGATGAACGCTGTGTGTGAATTATTCTAGAATAGAAAATCGTAATAAAAGTTTCATTTTGGTGCGTCACTTGAGGTCCACCTACTGAGCGTCTCTTCCGGGCAGCTCTCAAGACTTTGTGGTGAAGTCGAGGAGTTATGATGCGACTCACAGTCCGGAGATACGACGAGAGGCTTCGCTTTTCTTTCCAAGAGCTTTTTGGTTGTATTTTTAACATTGAAGAGTTTTAAACTCCCGACAGCCTTCACAGTTGGAGGAATTCTCCCTAAATCGTTTAACTTCTTGGAGGATCTGCGGTGCTCAGAGCTTAATATCCTGGGCTCACTAATGGCTTCTTCAACAACAACTTATCCTCTGGTGATGCTCACTCACCTCAGTCATCACCTGATAAATGATCATTATCCTCGCTCTCTGTATGACGCGAAGAGCCCTCAAGATTTATGACAGCCTCGTCTATATGTTCTGTTTAAGTTTATCAAGAAGAAACTACTCCAATATAAACCATAATTAATGACGATAAAAAAAAATATCCACAAAACAGTATTTTTTCTCACCAGTTCTAAAAATTCTTGATAATTAAAGGTGACACGTGGGTGGAAAATCAGCGTTTAGAGACGAGTTCTTACATACTGTTACAGATATTTTGGGAACTAGAATGATTTATTTCTTGGACGGTTTAATAGACAACATAATTACCTTGGCATTAAGAGAACATAAAAGCAGCTGGAAGGTAATACAATACTGTCTATGTCTACATGTGTGTACAGACAATGTAGACAGTGTAAACAATGAGCCAACTATCAACCCTTTAACCCATAAACAATTCAGAAACTTACCTGGAATGGGAAACAGTACATCTCTCCAACACAGTGACCTCGTAGGATATGAGTTAACCTTTGACCTTGAGTGAGCCTATCAGCCTCCAGATATGATACTCCAGATTCCTACTCCTACTCCTCCATCAGGCCCTGTTAAGGCTCCTGAAGGCTCTCTCATAAACTTCCTGCCTCCTGGAATTTGGAGAACCTTAAGTGGATAAGTGTGTGTGTGTGTGTGTGTGTGTGTGTGTGTGTGTGTGTGTGTGTGTGTGTGTGTGTGTGTGTGTGTGTGTGTGTGTGTGTGTGTGTGTGTTAAATAAAAGTCACTAAACAGACTATTTTACATAACGTGATAAAGTACATATGAAAATCTTTACCCCCACAATATACTGTTAATTATCGTCTTAAAGCCTCTGCCATTAAGTTGTTCTCGTGGTAAATTAATTAGATGACCTTATTTAGATACTTTATTTTCTATCTATGTGAACTTTGACCTGACGGCAGGACCTCTTCTTCTCTCTGCTGGTCATGTGAAGAAAATGAAGATAATTAAAATGAAGAACAGAATGAAATAAAGAGAATATTATAGAATAGGAAGAAATGATAAAAAGAAGGAACAAGGAGAGAGGAAATCACAGGTGAAGAAAGTGAAGAAAGAAGGAAGATGAAGGAATATAAATAAAGTAAAGGAGGATAAAACGACAAAAAGAAGAAATACGATGACAAACAAAAATAAGAATGAAGAAAAATGAAGAGTGCATATATTGAAGGAAAAAAGATATAGGAGACGAAGAGGAAAAAAAAGATTACGACGATCAGATGAACAACAGGTGTAGTAGGTAATAACGAGGAGACAAGAGGCATACCTGGAGAACATAAACAAACATCATCAACACAACACCAACACCTGCCAACATCACCTGTCAACATCACCTGCCAACATCACCTGTCAACATCACCTGCCAACATCACCTGCCAACATCACCTGTCAACATCACCTGCCAACATCACCTGTCAACATCACCAACATCACCTGCCAACATCACCTGCCAACATCACCTACAAACATCACCTGCCAACATCACCTGCCAACATCACCTGTCAACATCACCTGCCAACATCACCTGCCAACATCACCTGTCAACATCACCTGCCAACATCACCTGCCAACATCAACACCATACAACACACTATCCCAAATCAGCTTAGTGTTTACCTGGCATACTGCCCCAAGGTTATATTACCACACTTGATATACTGCACCCAGCACTCCTATTCAATAATGAGGTATACTTTACACACGAGTATACTTTAGGTCAGTAGACTACATTACCCATTCAATTATACACCCACCCCCCAAGGCTATACCCACCACATCACAAAAAATCGACAGAAAAACGACTTCAACTGCGAAAAAAAAAATCCCAAAATATTGCAAAATTACCCCGATTTTTTCAGGAAGTTAAGGGACTCCACAGCGGGGGACGAGGGTTTGTAAATAACCTCGAAATCAAAGGGAATAATGAAGTGTTTACCTCGTGAGTCCCTCCAAACTCAAAGGGAAAGATACGGGAGTCAATAGATGATGTTTTCTGTTGCAATGTTGCATAGGCTCGCCAGAAACAGTATTAGTGGAGGGAGGGGCGGGGGGAGGGGGGGTTCCTCACGCTACTCAAAAAAACGTTGGTTGATTCATATTTTATTTTTTCATATTATTATTATTATTATTAGTTCCTATCATTTTTATTTATTATTCCATTATGTATTATTTATTATTTATTATCATTCATTTATCATAATTATTTCTATTTCTTTTCTTTTCTTTCACGTTTCTCTTCACCGCTATCCCATCAGTGAACGTAAGGAGACAGGAAACGAGAGAGGATGATAAAGATGGGAAAAAATGTGATGATGATGATGAAAGGTGTGGAGGAATGAAGAGTGATGGAAGATTATGGATGGAGGAGGAGGAGGAGGAGGACGGAAGGCGAATAAGGGTAGAAGGCAAGGAAGAAGGTTTAGGAAGAGGAAGAATAAAGAGACAAAGCATAAAAGGATGAAATAGGAGGAGAAGAAAATGCCTGTAAAACAATCCTCATATAGTTGACTTATATAATTTTTTGTATTAATAAAAAAATGGGAGAGCTAACCTAACCTAACCTAACCTAACCTAACCTAACCTAACCTAACCTAACTCCACAACAACCCTACACTAACCTAACATACTAATAACCTACACTAACTTAACCTAACCTACTAATGACCCACACTAACCTAACCTAACCCCACACTTCTATAGTAAACAAACCAAACGGTGTAAAATAAAACTCATATTTTAGCTATTGTAAATCACACCTTTTTTTGTAAATAGTGTAAATTAGATGTAAATAAGAAACTTCCGGTGGTTTTGTACTTTGACACAACCTACCTGAAGGTGTTAATTAGATAAAGGTAAATTATATACCTTTATCGCTCAAGTGCCTGGTAATTTACATATAGTATTAATATATAGAGTTATTTAAGGTCTTGTGTGCTATAATCTGGTGTTGAAGCATCGTGGTGCAGTGATATAATTCAACTTTATTTTGTCCTTCAACGTAAAGCTCTCAGTGTTTTGTAATCTGGGGTAAAGTTCTGTGGTTGTAATCTGAGGTAAAGTTCTGTGGTTATAATCTGGGGTAAAGTTCTGTGGTTGTAATCTGAGGTGAAGTTTTGTGGTTGTAATCTGAGGTGAAGCTCTTTGGTTATAATCTGAGGTGAAGCTCTGTGGTTATAATCTGAGGTGAAGTTCTGTGGTTATAATCTGAGGTGAAGCTCTTTGGTTATAATCTGAGGTAAAGTCCTGTGGTTAAAGTCTGAGGTAAAGTTGTATTACCAAATCTAGGAAAAAGCTTTACCCTAAAAAAATGAAAAAAAAATCTGAAGAAAAAATCTGCATAGACAAAATCTGAGGAAAAAACTAAAATTAATATCTAAAAATAAAAAGAGTCCATAAGTAAAAGCTGATCAAAGTTCTATACCTAAAATCTGGAGAAATAAAAACTTTGTCGGTAAATCTGAGAAAAAAATCTGTGTAGTTGCTGGGATCACTGACGACTTTAATCTGAGGCAGAGTTTAGTATTTAATCTGATGTGCTGTGTGGAGTGGTTTGGGTTTTTTGCCATACCTCCCAAAAAATGGGTTGCCATAATGAATCTTACCAACGCCAGCCTATCTGAAGTTGGTTGCCACACCTGACAGCAGCAATTATCATGACCAACATCACCATCAGTAACTCCCGTCAACATCAAGTATTAATGTTTGTTAACGATATAGAAACATTACTCCACAAAACCACAGACTAAAAAAAAAAAATTAAATTGTATCGATGACAATGAATCCAATGAAAATAATGACCAAATATTATGTATGAAAAGATAATTATGAATCTTTTCACATAACATGTATATAAACGGCACAACATAGTGTTATGTATTCTTTATAACATATTAAGCAAAACAAAAAAGCAATGTTATTATTTTTTCATTGCAAATAAAAAATATCTGTTTATTTAATTAATTCATAAGTATAAGAAAACAATGTATTTACAAGTGTTCTCATAAGTTTTGTGTTGCTTTTGTGTTTGTGTTGTTACCAAGTCTCAGTTCATGGTGAATGGAACACCTCAGACATCACAAGACACAGTTATTCACACGGATCAGGTACCACACTACTGTACCATCATCAGTAGTATACCTGGCGATGTACACACCTTTACACAACACTCAATAACAATACTGTATTTTCTATCCTAAGTCAATAAATAATTATACTGTAATCTGTATCCTGTATTCTCTTGTATTATCACTATTTAAGTCATAATTAAGGTGTATTCTCTATTGTACTCGCATGTTCAACTCTGTAAATACAAATTAAGCTCAAAACAAACACAAACTTGTATAATATTAACATTGTTCTTTATTACTGCGAGGATAAAAACCACGACCACTCCACTTATACTTTAACACCCATATATATTTTGTTCTCATATATAACCACGATTCCTCTTGTGTTTACCTTACATATATTTCTCTCTCGTTTATAGAAGCACTGCAGCAGAATTAGATCCCATGTATCAGCAATATCACTGCTTAATATCCTCTATAATATTTGACTGTTTATATTTACAACAACACAAATTAATAACGTCAGGTGTTTGTGTACATATCTGTGTGTTGACCTTCACTCCTCTGTACATAGAGAGTTTGTGTGGTGTGTGTGTGTGTGTGTGTGTGTGTGTGTCAGGCAGCTCTCCTCTACCGCTTGGTGCAGATTACCCTTATAATGTTTAACTAATAAAACTGATATATATATTGATGGGTTTTTATAAATATAATACCTTTAATAGTATAGTTGGATATATATATATATATATATATATATATATATATATATATATATATATATATATATATATATATATATATATATATATATATATATATATATAAGTTTACATTATACTCGTGTTATAATAAGACTCACAAATAAGACCCAACTGTCAATAGGATTTCATGGCTATATTAAAGGTTACTGAAGATTAAACACAGTACACGGGCAATAACTCCCCAGATATGTTAGGTTACGTTAGGTTACGTTAGGTTACGTTACGTTAGGTTACGTTACGTTACTCACCAACAGCACCAATACCACCCTCAAAACTAACACCACTGACACTGTAACACTTGAGAATAACACAAGTACAACATTTCCGTAACATTCACAACACAACTACAATGCAAAATATCAACACTGCATCCATAAAACAGTAAACATGTATGTATATCATGTATGTATATCGCTGAAGTATACTGTACATCGACAAAATCTGACTATCAATATATTCATTAGATATACATGGATATATTACCAATAATTTACACGAAACATCCACCTGTAACCCAAATCTACCTGATAAATTAAAGGTAATTACTACAGGTGAGTTACATACCTGGCCTCAGTAACACACCTGGTCTATCTCATCCAGGTAGGCAAATCTCACCAGGTAACTCATATTCCTCCTACTAACTTCTGTAGTAATTTATCTTACTCTAGCATGTATGATTCACACTACACCACCATAACTCTCACAATACACCACCATAACTCTCACACTACACCACCATAACTCTCACACTACTCCACCATAACTCACACACTACACCACCATAACTCTCACACTACACCACCATAACTCTCACACTACACCACCATAACTCACACACTACACCACCATAACTCACACACTACACCACCATAACTCACATTACACCACCATAACTCTCACACTACACCACCATAACTCACACACTACACCACCATAACTCACACTACACCACCATAACTCACACACTACACCACCATAACTCACACACTACACCACCATAACTCACATTACACCACCATAACTCTCACACTACACCACCATAACTCTCACACTACACCACCATAACTCTCACACTACACCACCATAACACACACTGCACCATAACCCTCCTGGTCTCACCACAACATAAACTGTATATAATAAGCCATTATCACGTCCCTCACGCCTCTGTGGGTCACACCTGCTGCACCATTATGTTCACCTGACTGACTCGTCCAGGTGAAGTGTGTTGACGTAATTAATCCCCTCAATGATAATGGTAGAGCCAGTGTCAACTAATTCTCCTATAATAATGAGCTGATTATACCTGTACTCACAACTCATTCCCCTTGATGATAAAATTATAGTGACTTAAACCAATACATTTAACTTAACTAATTCTTGGTGGATTAAATCTTTCCAATGAACTCATAACTAATTTCCTCGGGGATGTTGTTTCACTGGGTTATATATGTGTTCAATTAATTCCTAAGTAATGTTTGTTGGTAGCAATGGCTTAGCGGATTATATTTGGTCAATTAATTTTCTCAGG